GAAACATTTTCCCTCGAAATTGAGGTAAGTCCAACAATTATGAACGAAGAGATTCCTCGAAACCTTACTTTGCTTCGTAGATGCTCACTTGCCTAACGGGGATTAAGGGAAGCAGAGCTTGCCTTAAAGGGAAATCTTTTCTGGTCTCCGTTAGCATGAATGAAGCCGCAATAAAACGACCCGGTTTTGAGACCCGTTTGTGGTTCTGATGACACGATAAGGCCAGATCGAAATTGCAGTCCAAATTAAAAGCTTAGAATGTTTATCTTTCTTCTCCTCTCTCCTCTGCTCACCTCTAGAATTGCGGGAAAACTTTCAACTTTCTGTCTTTAAATCACCTTAAACGAACTAGGCTGACTAAATTATTATTCAGCTTGAATGAGCAACAGTCAAAATTGACGAGCAAAAATTGAGATGCAACGAACAGTTGAACGTGAAAAACCTGATTTGTAAAACTGCAAACTTCAAACAGCAAAGCTTAACCAACATGGGCGTTGCCAAAAACAGCCTTGCTGGTGTGGCAATTGGAGCATTCATGCTTGCATATTTTTGTGCGTAGACATGTGTCTGATGTAGGGACAGGCCCAGACGACTGAAGGTTACCCATATGGGTCGTGGACGTCAGACCAGTGGGATATCTGCCTCCAGTGGTTGCCGAGGTCGGCAGTCCGCGTATAGTTGTGAAGAAGGGCTGACCGAACATCGGACAAGTCAGCTGTAGGGCGGATTGAGGAAGACTCAGACCAACCGACCGGCTTGACAACAGTCCGATGGAGGACTGGAGGGAGGACGGAGGGGGCGGAGACGAGTTGGACTGCATAATCACGAGGTCACTCGCAGAGGCAGGATAACCGTGTCCTCCGGAGCCCCCGGGGGCCACGGGCTCACAGTGTCCGATGTCCGAGAGGTAGACGATTCTGTCGTTCGAGTCGAGCGTCTCAAAATTCGGCTCGGCCCGTTCACCTGTTGAGATCAACTGGTCGAACACTGCCTGCCCGGCCAGGCCGTCGGGATAGACGACTTGTGGGAAATTCGCAGTTTCCGCAAATACAGGCTGTTGTCTGGTTGGAATGAGACTGCCCGGATAAGTTTGTACCAGAGCAAGTGGGGCCGTAGACTGGCCGGTAGCTGTAGCCGTGCCATTAGACAACCGAACCAGGCGACTCCGACTCCCAGTCGACGAGACCAAATGTGAAGATGTGATGGGAGGCTGAGAGGTCACGAAATGGGTTATTCCCGTCAGCTGGCCTGGCGCCGGATACAGGCCAGTTTGACTGGACAACGGTACAGACGAGTGCCCGGCAGACAACATGGGAGACATCGACAGTCCAGCAATCGGTGTGCTTGTTTGCAGCTCCATCGATGCCGTACCCGGGCCTAGAATGTTGCCGGAGGTATGATTGGTGCCATGTCCGTTGTTACAACCACCACTCGAGTAGTGTCGGTCCGCCTCTTCCCCTGACAACTGGCAACCGACAGCTCCATCCAAAATCCCTGGAGTCTGCAGCTGGCCTGGAATGACCTGATGCGGCGGCAGCATCAGCATGGCCTGTGTCATCGCCTGACCCATGCCCTCTTGACCCAGGCCTACTGTTAGCCATCCAGACGGTGCGGAGACCGAGGCATTTGGTCCGGCCAGCATTCCAGGAACGCCTGAATAGTAGACTGAGCCCAGTCCCCCGGACGGCTGTCGGTACTCTGCCGCCAGATGGGACAGACCGCAATCAGATGATGTCTGGACGGCCAGACCCAGCATTGTCCCGTCGGCCAAATCCTCTCGAGTTGGAGGCATTTGTCTCAAGGCATCATTCGGCTTCTCACCGACCAATCCAATCTCATCGTCCGCACCAACAACGTCGTCAGTCTTGAGCATCTGAAGAGAACTACTCGAGCCGGTAATCGGTGTACTCCTCCTGCTCTGGTTTCCCGGAGTATTAACACATGTAACTGTTGCGTTGCAGGTGCCAGAGGCAGATGTGTAGCCCGATGCTGTAGAGACTAGTGGGACAACACCAGAAGCACCACATACCAGATTTGATTCGCCAATGGCAACCATGTCAGTGAAATTTACTGCCTCTTCCTCACCAGGGCCAGTTGAGTCAAATAATCCCAGCCCAGCTTGCAAAGGCTGGTTGGAAAGTTGACCGGGATAGGGGTCTGGCATGCCCATACAACGCAGGATTGTATGCATTTGTGTTTAAAAGTGTATACAGTTGGTCAAGGCCATTTGACGGGAGCAGGAGAAGACGAGTGAACCGGCTTCATTTAAACTAAAATATACTTATTTGATTCTTTATAATAGCCAGTTACTCAGACGAATTAGAGTCTGATTGCTCTGCAACTTGCCTCGAAGCGATAGCCTAATCCATTTAAAAGATCTATGCATCAATTATAGAGTAATGCTGTCTAGTGTGGTTGCAAATGCATGCATGCATTACCTGCACTAGCGTGGAGACTTTCATTTCACATGAAATTGCATTAAGAAGAGATTCGTAGGTTTATCTCACCAGTAGACGACTGCTGATTCCCATTTTAATGCAGCTGTTTGGCCTCAACACAACGTTCAGGTTAAGACGTCCTTCCTCGGTTCGGGCAAAAAATAGGTTGAGCTTTCTTCCAGCATATGAGGGACAGCATCAGAACTGGAGCGTATTCTTGTAAAAGTCTCAAGTTAGCCCTAGATAAAGACGACTGTCCGGCTCTATCATACGTCTTATGTATACTCATAACTAAAAGCGCAAACCTATAGGTATAGATAGACGTAAATTGATCCGACTAATTTCCTTCCATATTGGTCTTGGTACTTTTAGTTGAGTTTGTGTGAGTGCATGATGGCATGGAAATGAGACAGAATAGTTCCAGATGAAGACGTTTGCTTATCATGGTATGTAGGCTATGAAAAGCTGTCCTCGAGCAATCCTGCCTCACTACGAGTGAAACCGGGCTGACGTAAAATAGAGCGGGATAACCTTTTGGACCTAATGTTAACTTGAGACTGTTTTAAGGACGAATTACAACTCTAAAGGAGTCCAGCCTGTTTTCCCCCGAAACAAGGCAGGATGTCTTGTCGACTGCATCAACCCGAATATCGCATTAAAGCCAAACGGTTGTAGTACAATCGGAATCGGCAGTTGTTTTCTAGTGGGATCAACCAACGAACCTCTTCTTAATGCACTTTTACACTAAATGAAAGTCTCTACAACAATGTTATATCAGGAGACTCTTAGAAATCCAATTACTCTTCGTTTTTGTCTGAACTAGGTTCACTTCAAATTCTGATTTGTAGAGCTATTGATTCGCTAGAAAGTCACTTCTTTCTTGCAGCTCATTGGCAGGCGAGTAGGTCTCGAATCCTATTGTGAGTGTTGATAAGACTCAGACGTGGTCAAAACTGCAGCTGAGCCAAGAGAAAAAGGCCGTTTTAGTGACACAGCTCAGCGAACTTTAATGGAATTATGATGAATTCTTACATTTCTATTGTGATAGACTAAACTGCCAGGTCTGACATAGTGTAATGCGACGAAAGTTACTATACTTCTGGGAGAAGATCAAATAATCTCTTTATAGCATTATTATAGTGAAGATGGCAAACGGAATGCATATTCACAGTCAATTTGCAAGTTTGGGAAACTAGCTACAAACAATAGATTCATTGAAAAATTCGCCAACATTTTTGCCAAGTATCATCAAAGTCATTAGTCTAGACCCGGCAGAATAAGAAGATTGCTGTACCGATCAAAGACCTGAATGTATGCACTACTTTAGGAGATTGTTGAAAGAGTTAAGAGCAAGTACATTCACGATTAAATGAATGAGAGTTTTTGTTATGTTTTGAAATTCACGTTGTTCAAGACATGAAGACCAAGATGGTGTGGCCTTTTTTGTGGTCGAAATCTCCTTTCATTGAATAGAGGTTGTTTGACCTTGTTTTCGCAACTTGGTCATATTAACAGAATGACCTAGAGGAACGCACCAATTCCACGGTCCGACTCTGTAAATAATCATGCATACCATGGACTCCTGACTAAGTGCGTTCCTATAGGTCTTCATGCCAATATGACCAAGTTGCGAAAACAAGGTCAAACGGAGTAGATAGTAGAAGATAAAGATCTTCAACTGACTCGAAAACTACTTTGTGGTCGCAAACAAAAGAGACTTATAACAAACTAGAGTTTATTCTGCAGTTGTATATTTCTCTATTGCGGTAGTCTTGAAATTCTTATATTGCTTCAAGGCATTGGTTGCTACACTTATATTATTATCACAACACTAGGTCATTGCAGTTTTGCTGTTGCGTTTTCTGCTTCATTGCCTCAGGCAAACAAGCTCGAGTCAAAAGGTTATCTTTTGGTTCATTCCCTCGAATCAAGTAATTTTTACTAATTGTATTAATCTGAAATAATTTCGCTTGACCTGTGACGTATTCTGCCCACGAAGAGGGATTGATTTTTCACAATAGCTCATTTATGTCAACTGAAAAACGTGAAAATGGTGTTTGAACTTGTTTTCGCAACCTGGTTATATTGGTAGGAGTTCATTGTATGCATGATCATTTCCAGAGTTAGATCATGTAAGTGGTACATTCCCAGACTTTTCGCCGGCATCGGAGTCGGCCCCGTCAGTGAGTCTCGCCATTCTTAGCACCACACAACGTCCACGATCATACTCTGGAAAAGATCATGCATACAATGGACTCCGGACTAGCTTCCTTCCTCTAAGCCATCCTACCAATATGACCAAGTTAGGAAAACAAGGTCAAACACCCGCTTTACGTTGTTCAGTTGACATAAATGAGCTATTGTGAAAAATCAAGTCCTCTTCAAAGTATCGTGGGCAGAATCCGTCACAGGTCAAGTGAAATTGTTTCAGATTGATACAATTAGTAAAAATTACTTGATTCGAGGGGAATGGACCAAAAGATAACCTTTTGACTAGAGCCTGTTTGCCTGAGGCAATGAAGCATAAAACGCACCAGCAAAACTTCAATGATCTAGTGTTGTGATAATAATATAAGTGTAGCAACCAATGCCTTGAAGCAATATAAGGATTTCAAGACTACCGCAATAGAGAAATATACAACTGCAGAATAAACTCTAGTTTGTTATAAGTCTTTTTTGTTTGCGACCACAAAGTAGTTTTCGATTCAGTTAAACATCTTTATCTTCTACTATCTACTCCGTCGTCTCTAGCACTCTTCATTCGAAGCATGCTCTCCGGTCTTTCACTTCTGCATTAGCAGACTATCAAATGACTGCTTAAATCTCATAAGCAGTTTGCCTGTAAACTCAGCATGTCTTGGTGTTGGCTCAATCCTGTTTTCGCAATTTGGCTGGAGCGTCAAGTAGACCTTGTATAAGGTACCTAGTCCCGTGTACTCTGCCATAGTATTCGTGATTTCCAGCATTGGACCATTGGCTGGGTACATTCCCAGACGTTTTACCGGCATCGTACAACTTATCAACTTGACAGACGTAGGCAATCCCTTTAACCAATGTTCTGTTCAACCGTCGTGGCATCCCTCCTCGTCCCTATTTTTGTTCACGAATACCATAGCAGAGGACACGGGATTAGGTACGTTCCACAGGGTCTCCCTGATGCTCCGACCAAGTTGTGAAAACAAGGTCGAACCCACACTATACATGCAAAGGAGACTGCGACCAAAGAAAAGGCCACACCATCTTGATCTTCCTATCTACAGCATTTCGTATCTCAGCCTGTACCCGTTAGGCAATGCACAGTGGGTTTTGCCGGATGTGCTATTCTAGGCCAAGATATCGGTCAAAAAGGAATGAATGAATGATTGGCGTTTTATCTATTTTTTCTATGCCCCAAGCAAGGCATTCTGTCTGCATCCTCTGAGTCGGAGACTCATTTAAGGATAAAGGCTTACAGGAGGGTGTTTGTTAAACCAAGAGCAATTGGCCGACCGAAGTTGGCCAGCCGGAATCTAAATTGGTAGCTTTGCGGACAGCTGGGCGAATAGCAAAATTTCACATTCTCACAGCCTCGGCCTAAATTCAGTAAACATTAGAGAGTATTCTGAGTTCTCATTTCTCATCTCGTAACGAGTGAGTTCAGGTGAAGACATGAGGGTGGGTTCAAGCATTCATAGATGCATATGCTTTTACTCATATTTATAAGATTTTATGTTTTCATCCACATGCTCTAACTTGCCCGGACCTGCACATGTGCATATTTCACTGAAATTTCACAAATGGGCACTCATGCAAAGGATCGAATTTATGTGGCAAGGTGAACCAACACTGTGTTGTATGAGGCTAGAGTTCCACATAATGATATGTAGCGAATTTCCGAACATATCAGCCCAGTCAGAGCATATTTTAACTTGAGTCGGCAGCAGCAGCATGTTTAGCGAAGGAATCGAAAATTGGTGTGTATTGTGTGGCTAGCCGACCTGTGATGTTGTACATTTGTAGTCTAGCCTGGCATTATTTACTCAAACTGGCTATTCATTAAGGTTCTACGAGTTCACCGCAAAAATTAAAAGACCTTTTTAATTTGTTATATAGTAGTCAAAACTTTTCTAAAACTATTCATCAATCGCTCTTCCTCATATATATATAAATGAGATGAGTTAAATTAACCACTAGTGTTGTTAATATGTTGATAAGATTGTCCAAGAAGAATCCTCATGCCATCTTTTATCCTTTTACAATTAATTGAAGGAAAACTAGATTTTATTTCCGTGATAATTCAAGGCCCAGATAACTTGAGGTTTGTACACGAATACCAAAGTTATCAATTGGCCTTTGTCATAACTAAATGAACTAAATCATTCCAAATAGAAGGCAAAAGTATTATATAGAGATGAAGAATTAGTCTTATTTTATCTCAAAGTATCAATGCCTAGCTTGTTGGGGACAAAAGAATGACAGTTTATTACATGGTTTTATCAATCTTCTTGTTTATTGATCCAGAAAAACTGTAATCACTAGCATTGCTGATGGCCAAATTTTGGGCATCCCTAAAAGCATAGACATCTTGAGAGAAACAAAATCGTCATAATTTCATAATATCAGAGATTACAAAATTCGACAGATGTTAGGAGCATGTTGCAAGTATTCACTTCAATTTATTTGGAGCATACCAACTATTACTGCCTGATGCACCAAATATCTAATGGCAAACTATGGCTCTTAAGCCAGACTC